ACAATGAGTTGTTAGAATTTTTTCTGTAATTTTGCGTATTTTATTCCTGCAAAATTAAACTCAAAGCAGCTTCTTGTTTATCGTGTAAAAAAAACAGGCTAGGACCGCCACTGTGGATGGTTGTCTGTCTCTCTGTGTTAGCCCTGCAACAGACTGACGACCTGTCCAGGGTGAACCGTGCCTCTCGCAGAAGATAATATATGGATGAATGGAGATGGTTTGGCATCTCAAGTGGGCGGGTTTTTCACAGTGAGGCAAAAGACACTTTGCTTGTTATCACAAACAGTTGATTGCGGTTCTTGCTGCCAAGCGTGGCAAAACCAGTTATTAAGTTTTGGGGACTCAGTTACTTTTTCATATAAGATCAGGTTTTGATATTCTTTTCCCCATTAATAAATTAAATCCTTTAAAATCTGCATTTTGTATTTACTTGGATTATCTTTGTTTAATAGAACACTTGAGACATGAAATGTGACAAATATGCAATAAGAAAACAAAGCCCAAATAAACTAATTAAAAGAATTTATTGTGGTAATTAGACTGAAACACTGATGAAAATTATGTGAAATTTTAAAATTAAATCTGATAAGAGGAACAGCGCCTGAAATAATCTGAACTATCAGACCAATCACTGTCACGGACCAGTGTAAAGAAAGGCGTTCATATCAATTTTGTCCTGAGCCGCGACCCTTCTGTTTGAACTCCATCCATGCTGTGCTTGGCTACAGTTCTACACAAGAGCCCGCCTTCTCCTCCCTTCCTCAAAGCTCATTGGTCGCACATCCCCTTCTTCGCGTAAATCTGGAAAAACACACGTTTCGGACTTCTTTCTCATGTTGTTTTCGTGCGTCCTTCTTCACAGTTTCTTTTCCTGATGAGATTATAAACAGAGGAGAGTGCAGCTCTGCATGTCAGAAGTAGAAATTGATGGTGGAAGTTTATTCATGTTTACACGAAGCCGAAATCGGGCTGCACGAGCGGTTTAGCTCGGGAGTTAGGCCGGGGGAGAAAGCGGACTAAACTCCTTCTGGTGAGTTCACCCTGTGTGCTCGGGGATTTCCTCTTGTGCTCGGTGTAAGGAGAGCAGGATATCAGACATGAAGTTTATGTCTGTGCTGTAAAACAGGAGCTGGGCTACAGTTAGCCTCAAATTGCTAACTAAAGGGGAGAAAATTAGTTCGCAAAGCCACGTTAAGCACTGAATTGGAAACTAAAGCTGGGGCTATTGTAAAGTAAACCATACCAAGATACTCGGGAAGCTTAAAGCAGAGCAGTGCCTCAAGCTAAAACGGATAAAAACAGTGTAAACTGTGACACCGAAACACCGTCATTATTATTAATATTTATTGATGGATTGTTAATGTTTTACGTTTCTTATTGACGAAGATGTTAAATATTTGCAGGTTTTTGTGCCTGTTGTACTGACATTGTAAAGGAGCTGTCAATGATTATTTTTTGATTTTATAGGGAAAAAAAGAGTTTTGTAGTCATAAACATGCATTAATTAATCTTGCTGATGCATTCTCATAAACTTGAAATGCATATCAGTGGCTGGTGGTTTGTGGAAGCTGCCATGTTGAATACAATGGATGAATAGACATGGCCTTAAATCTGAATTATGCTTCAGCAGGAAGTCTGCTTGGTTTCGGTTGTTTACCTTTAACACTGGGTGTTAAACCTCACTGTGGGAGGATTCGTTATAGCATTCGTCCCAAAAGTCCTGTGATGTCATTTGTATAGGACACCAATGCAAAGCAATACAACACATTGTTATGTTGAGGACATTGAGGCGATGGTATACCTGCTGCTAAGCTGATGGTAAACCTCTGCACCTCATCATTGGACCACAGTGTTGGTTTGTGTGCAGCCATTTCCCTCGTTTCTGTGTTTCAAAAATGAGGAGTGTGATTCTTCCGGAGGCGTCACTCTTATGACTCATCCAATCAGTGGTATGGAGCCTGGTTACATCACATTTTTAGCTCAACTCAGCTCGCTTGGAACCGGGGTCAAGTAGCTACCAGTGACAAAGAGGCTTAAATGTAACAAGTGGTTGTTTAAGTTACTGCTGTCTTGGGCTTTTGGTGGTTGACTGCACACATAAGCACAATTAGTCCCATTCAATAAAGGCAAAGCATCTATGTTAGAGATTTCCACTTAAATGGTAATTTTATTGGGCTATTTGATAAACAGACACATACTTAAACTTGCGTAAACAAATCCCCACATAATTAATTACTAGTTAAAATATTTTTATTTGGGTTTTGGTGGGTTTTCTTTTGGCACTGACAAAATTAACTTTGGCCTGCACCAAAAAATATTTATATGCAAGAAAAGCTCAAAACATGCTGAACCTGACTGTCTTTCAGGTCTCTTGACGGGCGATCATGGAGTCGGTCAGCAGTCTGTCCATGCTGGGCCGCAAGCAGCTCACTGTCTGCCTGGTGGACTGTATGAAGACTCTGGGGGTCCCGAGGGCAGAGCCTGAAGGTGAGCAGCATTCAGAAACACAAGATCAGGATCGTTACTTCCTACATCTTACAGTGCTGGTCACAGGCTTGGATACCCTCATCATGTATACAAACAAGGGCAAAGGAAAGAGGGACTCAACAACAATTAGAGCTGGGAAAAGAAACAAGTCAAACACAGTAGTTTGTATATATAATATGCTTTTATTGCTATAGTCAAAAAAATGGCTAAAGTGAAAGTCAGTAACCAACAGAAATATGCTAAAACAACAATGAGATTGTTCAACAAAGCAAACTACTCCCTAGTAATGCCAAAAACAAACTGCACAGCTACTGGCCTCCACTCGGCTGGTAGCTCTAACGCAGCCTTTCTTGTGTCTGGGCTGACTGCTTTTATCACTAGTATGATTTTTATCATGCTGTCAAGCTCCACAAATCAGTACCAGCATGCCTGAGGACCTGCTCCGATGTTCTTAATTTCCTATAGTGATGTGATGTTCCACAGTTACAGGCAAACCAGGATTTTACTGTTTGGTCAGATTACTTCTTGGGCATAAAACTGTGACACTGCCCACAAAGACTAATGTAAACCAGCCTTTTCTTTCTTTTATGGCAACATAGTCATCTGCTAAAATCCGCATTCACATGAATTAAACTTTTTTTTGTCTAGATTTACATATACAATGACCACTCGGAGAGAGAGACTGAACTCACATGAGCCTGAAGCTTCATGCATAGCTGATGATTCTTTAGAGGTCTTCTCTGGTTACATATGTAACAAATGTTGCCCTGTTGTCAAACTGCTGTTTCTGAGAAATAGAGTCTGAAGAGACTTTGGGAAAATGTGAAGTAATGCATAGATTTTTATCTGTTTTATAAAGAGTTTTAAAACTTGGCCGCCATTCTGGAGTCTATTTTAAAACCCTTTCAACAGGCGATTGGCTGAATTTTAAAACAGTTTAAGGTTTTTGCTCACTGCTCATATCTGTATGTGAACAAATTATTTTAGCCTCCTTTTAAAGTAAAGTTCAAACAGTAAACCCTGAAGAGGTCAGCAAATAATCCATCAGTTTTCTGTGTCTTCCTCTTCTTAACGTCCTTTCAGCCCCGTCTGGTGACCTTCCAGTCCTCACTCTGAGGAAGCTGTCTGTCTCTTTGGTGGACTGCATGAAAACTCCAGTGCTGAACAGTGACGATAATCACAGCAGCTTGCAGCTCAACTTGAAAGAGGAGGACGAGCAGTTGGGGAGAGAGTACGAGGGCTCAAAGCTGGAGCTGCACCCAGTCTGGCAGGACAGTGGAGTCGGAGCAGAGATTCATTTGTATAAAGAAGAAGAAGAAAATAAAAACAACATCTTGGTGGAAAACAAACCTGAAGAGCTTGCTCGGACTGATGACAAAATGTTAGTGTTTCAGGAGAACGGCAGTGGCACCAAAGGGATGGCGTGGCTCATACAGTGTTCTGAACTATCAGAGTCCCTCGAAACAGCTGCACTGGGCGCCAGTTCAGAGGAGGACATGGATGCAATGTCACAGCAAAGTCAGGAAGAAGATGCTTTATCAGACAGAGCAGAGACGGCACAGCAGGACACTGAAGCAGAGGAAGCTGAAGATGCAGAAACCCCCGAGCCCGAGTCTGGAGGTGAATGTTTAATAACTAGTGCTTTAGTAATTTTTTAATTATTCGATTAAAACTTAAAATTTTCACCAGAAAGTTTTTTTTAAGGCTTTGCTGCCAATATTTTAGCTTTGCACTACTGCTCTGTTGCCTCTTGGTGGCACTGTGACTATTAGATACTGCTGAGTAGATGTTCAGGTCTTCATCAAACATGAGAAGTTTGGGCCGTACTGGACGACATATGTGTGAGTTACAAATTTCCCCATGGAGCAAGAGACACGCTCTTCAATAAAAACTCAAAAGTTTTCCAATTTATCATCAGTGAGGTCTTTGCATTAGACTGAGTAAATATGACGCTGATCAGATCAAACCTTTAACGTAAAACCTAGAAATTTCATTATTTCTAAATGATATTATTTCCACACTACCCTCCTAAATTGTTAGCTTTACAGCATGGCTACAAAAGGTTTGGTTTTTGTAGGGTTTTTTGTGCATCCTGTGATGTTACATGTGTGTACCAATCTCACATATGCATGTAAAAAAAAAAAAAACATCAGTTGGGTTTATTTGTAGTAAGCCCAACTGTTCACATTCAACTGATGTGAAAGTAAATCTTCACCAGTTGCAATTCTCCTGATGAATTTCAGAGCATGTTTAGCTTCTAGAAAAAGGCCTTATTATTAGGGGTGGGCGATATATCGAATATACTTCAGGTATCGCAAGTTTTTCCATGTATGGTGGTTAAAGTGGCTTTATCGTGACCATCGAGTATAAATTGCTATGGCAATATTAAGCCATTGACACATTTTTGGTTTTTTTGGGGGGGAGGGGTATTTGAACATTAGATTTTTCTCATATTGCCCAGCCGTACTTGTTGTTGTTATTGTTATTAGTATCATTATGATTAGTTGTAGTAGTACGAGTAGTATTGGTATTAGCTTGAGTATTATAAACTTAGTGCAAGACCCTGTTGCATCTGCTAGGAGTTCTCAGGTCCAACAATAGCTCGAGCTGATTCAATTTTGGTGAAAATCATGTCAAGGTCACAGCAAATGTAAAAATCAGTAAAAGCTTTACATTACCCACAATTTTTTCTGGATTGTCCACAAACTTAGCGCCCCCAACATCAAAGTTGACCTTTGATGTTGGGGGCTTTAAAGAAACCATATTAAGTATATATATGTATTATAAAAGGGCATGGAGAGCACTGTACAAAGCACTTTTTCAACACAATGCCTTACGATGTCACAAAGATGGCATAAAGGTTCGCAAATTGCAAACAGCATGAAAATACCTTCAAATTTCAAGTTTTTACAGCTTATTAGAACCCAAAGATTTCATCTTATGGGTAAACATGCTATTTTAGTATGTAATGCTTCAAGGCCATAGGTCAAAAGGTCAGACATTAGTCTTGTTATAAAAGCAGATTGATTGTAATTAAAACATCAATTTTTTTACGTCCTTCAAGCTTCTCTTCTAAACATTATTTTCAACACGCTAATGGAATAATTTTGAGCATTGTGACTTGTAATCATCACTTCCTTGTTTCCTCTTCCTTGCAGCTCCTTCTTGCGTGTCTTCAACCAATGAAAACCAAACAGAGAACCAACAGGATGCTGCGTCTGAACCCCGACACCACCGCTGTGAGCACTGTGGGAAGTCCTTTGCAAGGAAGAGCAACGTCCTCCGACACCAGCGGCACAACTGCAGCAGAACAAAACCCCCAGAAGATTCAGACCAGCTGGAGCAGGAGACGTTCTCATGCAGCAGGTGCATTCTAACATTTGACACTAAACGCGGGCTAAAGCTGCATGAGCTCTGTCACAAAGAGAACAGTGAAAGTCACGAGGGCAAAGACAGTAATGAGGTTCAACGAGAGAGGCCTCACACCTGCACACAATGCAATAAGAGCTTCTACGTGCTGTACACACTGCGGCAGCATCTCCTCATGCACACTGGGGAGAAATCTTACCACTGTGAGGTCTGTGGGAAGCAGTTTGGCAGGGAAGGAACTCTGAAGGAGCACATGCTGATCCACACAGGGGAGAAACCTTATAAATGCGACCAGTGCGGCAAGACCTGTGCCAGGCGCGGGGACCTCAGAATACACATGTTGAGCCACTCTGAGGAGAGACCTCACAACTGCAGCCACTGTGGCAAAAGCTTCAAACAGCTTTTCAAACTGAGGAAGCACGAGCGAATCCACACAGGGGAGAAACCCTACCAATGTCAGCTTTGCGCAAAGAAGTTTAGACTGCAGGAATCGCTGGCATCACACATCCACACCCACACTGGAGAGCAGCCCTTCAAGTGCAGACTCTGCCCCAAGGCCTTCAGTATCAGGAGCAACTTGAAGAAGCACCAAATGATACACACCGGGGAGAAGCGCTTTCACTGCTCACGCTGCGACAAAAGTTTCCGGCTGCAGCAGCACCTGATATTCCATGAGCGGGGCCACACAGGGGAGAAACCATACAAGTGTGAAAAATGTGGGAAAGGTTATTGTCACCCGTCCACGTTGAAAACACACCTGTCCGCTCATGAGGAGAAACCACCACGGTGCTCCCTGTGCGGGCAGGAATTTAGAGATCAGGAGGAGTTAGCCAATCACGGGTGCGCTGAGTCAGCAGAAAAACCATATCGCTGCTCTCAGTGTGGAAAGTGCTTTTCCCAGATCATGAATATGAAGAAACACCAGATGATCCACTCAGGGGAAAAACCCTTCGCGTGCAAGGAGTGTGGGAAGCAGTTCAACCACAGTGGGAATCTCACAAAGCACATGCGCACCCACACCGATGAAAGGCCGTTTGAGTGTGAACTCTGCAATAAGCGCTTCAGGCTCCAGCAGCACCTCACAAATCACAGATTAACTCACAACAAGAAAAAGTAGAGACTGAATCTGATGTTTTAGTGGAAGCAGCCGCAGATTAGGAGGACAAACAGGGATGACTGCTGAGATGAGATTACGTTGACTCAGCTTCACCCCATTTTAAGCTTTAACTGTAGCTGTTTTAGTTGTTCTTCATGTAAAATGAGACAGAAGAATGTTAGAGAGAAACTCGCTGCCTTGGTCTTTAAATGATAAAATGCTTTTAGAATTATAGTTTGGGACAGTTTTGTATTCTTTTATTTTATTTTTTTTACAGATTAATTAATATATTAAATTGGGGATTTGTCCCAAAATGAAAATGATGAAAAAAATGAAATGCCAAAAAAAGAAACTATTTCGGGAATAAAAGTCAATATTAAAACCAAAGAACTAAGAAACTATCTTTTGTCTGGATGTCATAGTTTTCATTGGTAAACTACAGATTGGATATTGATCATCAAGTAGTGAGTTACAATCATACTTTCACCACACTAGACTCTCAGTACGTCTACCTCACTGTAGTTGTCAGAGTAATTAATAATCTAGATAATAGAGAAAATTAAAAAGAAAAAACTGCTGTTGGTCAAAATGGGCATCAACTTTTTGCCCTGTTTTAAGTCATGTATCTCTAATTAAGGAAACGCATTGCGCTCATTGACACAGACTGACTCCGATTGATTGGCAGAGGTTTCCAAATAACTGCAGATTGCAATCTGTCTGAGAGTTGCCACAACTACTTGTAGATGGTTGGCCTTGCGATGTAATTCAAAGCAACTATTGGTCACCTATCTTTATAAATTTATTCTTCTCCTAGTTGCAGAGACAATGCTTTCCTACCTTTACTCCAGTGTGATATCTGCTGTAACCCAAACTGTGCTGCCACTGGATTTCTTGCAATGTGCATGTTTTTAAAGTGATATAAACTTCACATTTTAACGTCTGATTTAGACTTTGTAAATCTTTGTACAGCCTACGTGTCAACCTACGCAAGTGGCCAACACTGTTACCAGCATTCAAACTTGTGCTGGGTGTTTTATCTGTTTACCTTCAGATTGTGAGCCTTTATGTAATTTCAATTTTTTAATGAAGTACCAGTGATAATGGAACTAAATAAAATTCAGGGACTTTTTTTTTTACCCTCTTGAATTCTCGCTCTTCGCTGTGGTCAACATATTTGTGCCTCAATGGGTTCGACTTATTAACCCATTCCCGCTCATCTATTTGGATATTTTTGGCAGTCTCTCTTCAGGGATTCACACCCTCCCCACATACTACTCTGCAAGTCAGAGCAGACCATTATACATGAGTTTACAATCCAGAAATCTTGTAAAAGTGTAAACCTTTAATCTGCACTGCAAATGTTGTGAATTTTTAAGCCAAAGTGGTAACTCATAACGCGTCAACATGTATTTGGTCATTTCTTGCTATGTCTTGAACTTGGTCCTGAATTGTTTTTGTGTGTAAGACATGACTGAGCTGTTCAGTGTGAAGCTTTAGGTTTTTAATGTTTTTAATGTCTGGTACAAAAACAACAACACCTATGACCTCAGTAATAGCTTAGCACTTATCTTAGTACAAGGACATGCAGATGGTTGTTAAACTCCTGACATTCAAATACACTGCATTTTGACCATCTTCTAGGTTGGTGTGTAATTATTAATTTTAGTATCAATGAACTTCCATGTTAGGTTAATTGGTGATTCTGGCTGTAGTTGTAAAAGTTCATGAAGGAAGCAAAGAAGATAAAATAGCTAATATAACTGTGAGGAGTTGGTTCTTTTCTTCTTGAGGTGGTTTCAGAGACGAGTGGTTCCTCAGGCTATAGTGTAAATATAGTGTAAATAATACACCACTAGCTCCCCCAAGTGTCCCATTTCATCACACTGAAAGCAACATATGAGAGAAAGATGAAAATATGACTTTAGAAACATGAGTATTTCTTTTCATAATAAATGAATCGCTGAACATGGCTGAGAAAAACATCAAAGTTAAGGTAAGTGCTTACTCTATACCGTTAACTATCGCTACATTTAATCACATTTTTAATCTGAGAGTAGTTTGTGTTGGTCTTTGTTCAATGTTCTGATGGGACGAGTTCTAGTCACACAAACTCTTCACCCAGTGCCCATGATAGCAGTGAAATTAGCAGTTGCAGTAATGAAGGCAAATTTATCTGCAGCTCCTTTAAAGGAAAGGCGCTCCAGCAGGATCCAGAAGTGTTTGCTATATTTGACTAAGACTAAGCCAGAAACAAATTTCTACTGCTTTACAGCAGAGAATACATTCATCGACTTTGACGCTGAGCTAGATTATGCAGTTCTGGAGCTCAACCCTGAAACATCTTGATGCATGCTCAATCATCCCCTGAAAGCTCAAAGGCAAAACAAGAGCAAAGAACAAGGTACCACTGGGGCTCCACTGCCTCCCAATGGTAAAGCCTGCATCATTGGACACCCAGGAGGGGAAGTGAAACAAATGGATCCTACATGTATCATTGAGACAGAGAAGAGAGGGCAGGCTGCTGATGATTATTTGAGTCATTAAATTAAGTCATTAAATCCAATAATCATCCACTTGATCTGTAATTATGCCACAAAGCAAAGCATTGGAAACATATTAGAGGGTGGAAATAAATCAGGAAAAGTAGCGACCTAACACACTTCGATGTATCACGCTGGCTCTGGCTCTCCAGTGTTTGATGTTTTTGCAGGATTTACCTATGGTTTTACAAAAGAAGTCGATGGTATTTAACTGATAGTAAATGAGAAGTGAAGCAACACAGTGTGTAAAACAGTTTCTTGTCTGTGTGGTAAAAAGTTGAGATGAAGATGATAATGTACTTCTGCACTTAGTGAAGAACTTACATTCTGCTAATAGGGTTCTTTATATGGTTAAAATCTGTATCTTTGTCTGCACTGATTTAAAGAGTTTTATGTGTCTTTGTGAGACATTCAATCCTAAATTGTTTCCTATCACTAATTTGTCAATCCACTTTTACTTTTCCTGAAAATAAAAGCATGCATATTGTTTGTTTCTTTGTTTAAGTGTAAGCTTTAATCTTCTACAGACCCAGATCAGAAAGATTGGCTGAGACTTATTGCTGCTGCTGATATCAATGCACTTCATATGTTACTATTAATCAGTCGTGCCATTTTGTTTGGTCTGTGCTGCTCTTTAAGCAGCCTTAAACTCATGAGTGATTCTTTGTTTGTTCCAGTAGATGGCGGTGTTGCTTCATTATTCTCCTCACTGGTAGACAAGAAAGAAAAGATATTTCCTGTAGTAATTTAGTCTGTCTGTACATTGATCAGAATCAGAATACTTCATTAATCCCCAGGGAAATTATGTGGGTTATAGTTGCTCCAGTACAGTAACATTAACAAAAGCAGACTATTTAACAATACAATATGTTAAGATTTAAGGAATAGCACAACATATACAAATCACCAAATAATAAATATCCCGGGTTGACAGATGTAGTTATAAATAAATATTAAGAATATTGACAGCAACATTACAGAGCAGAAAAGAGCGTGTGTAAAACGTGCGTAGCTATTGCAGTGTTTACAGTGTGTTTGATGGAGGAGTTGTACAGGGAGATGGCCACAGGCAGGAATGATTTCCTGTGTGATTCAGTGGTGCTTTTTGGTAATCTCAGTCTCCCACTGAACGTGCTCCTGTGACAAGCCAGCATGTCATGAGTGGGTGGGAGGTATTACCCAACATTGTCTTTATCTTGGACAACATCTGCCTCTCCGACACCACCTTAAGGGAATCCAGCTCCATCCCCACAACATTACTGCATCACTTTGTTTTTGATTTGATAAATAACCATGTTCCTGGTGTGTATTTAACAGTGTGTGATTCTCCTCATATTTACATATTTACATATTTATGTACATCTGTTCACAGAAACGGTTATAGCAAAAGACTAATGAGAATTTTAGAAGGACAATTTTAATGGGAAGATAATTGTGATTCGGTTTATGTCCTTTCCTGTTAAGAGAAATAATATCGAAAGCGTTCACGTGTTTATAAAACTGTAAGTAGTTGGCTTAGTGTATCTCCCAAAATACTGTATTGGAACTATGAAACTGCAGTTTCTCATTTTTACTATTACTTTTGTACTGGATCAATAAGTTAGTGTCCTGCTTAACAATCAGTCAAATAAAGCCTTTGAAATAAATGATAAATTTTGCTGTGCACACCCCACAGCAGCCTAGCTGGTAGTTGCTAGCTCTCATCCCCTAGTTCTAGTCATTTAACTGGTTCTGTCCACTCTGTTGGTGTGTTTTTTAATATCGTGGCCTGCTGTGTGGTACTTTTTATGCGCTCCTTTATTCATTAACTTCTACAACAATATTTTACCTTCTGGCCTGTATTTCTCTTTTATATTTGGTGTTAACATACACCTTAACTTGAGAAGCTAAATCATTATTGTTATTTAAAAATGTTATACATTTTATCATTGCATTTTTTTTAACCTGTGTGTCGTTAACTTTTTTATTCTCTGGTATTTTTTTGTGAAGCACTTTGTGATCTTTGTATTGAAAGGTGGTAAATAAATGACATTTTTCTGACGCATGTAATATTAATATGGAGAGATTCATTTATATTTTAACAAAACCCGCTGTAATGCTGTAAAATGGGAGTAAATAGAAACTCTATTCCATCATTTTAAAATCCTCGAATGTTTTTGTTGCCCTTTTCTGATTGAGTTCAGTTGAGTCAATGTTAGTGTTGTTGGTGTTTGTCACTATTTGGTTGGTGTAAAATGTACAGGAACTGACAGGAAATCCTGCTGCAACTGAACTGAGTAGGCAGCATGTTTGACTGTGTGTGTGTGTGTGTTTGAATGCATTATTTTTGAGTAAAGATACACACAGTACAACAAACACATCGATTAGAAGCTGTTGCTCAACTCTGATCTGACCTGACCAGTGTTTGCTGATGACTCACCGGTTTGTGAAACTGAACCTGGAGGCTTCAAATGATCAGAGAGCAGCGTTAGAAAATCATTCAGCAACAACTCTTCACACAGAAACAGCAACGATGGAGCGACTCTGTTTCCTTTTGTGTCTGATATGTGTGTCCTCAACACTGGTGAGTTTCTCTGATGTTTTTAAATAATTTTACAAAGATGTGGTGCTGAAATTTTTTTCTTTGTCATTTTACTGTATACTATGTGTTGTTTAATAAATAACAAGAATAATTATGTATTTACTGATCACTCATATGTTTATTATTTACTGATATCAATACATGAACATAGAATTTGGCTGTTCTATTTATAAAGATGTCGAGCGCACTGTCTTATTCATTATTTACTCTTTTATTTTACTACCTAAGTTTATTAGATGTATTTCTGGTAATTATTATTATTATTATTATTGATTTATGGTAAATGGTAAACGGCCTGCATTTGTATAGCGCTTTTCTAGTCCCTAAGGACCCCAAAGCACTTCACACACACATTCACACACTGGCGATGGCAAGCTATATTGTAGCCACAGCTGCCCTGGGGCGCACTGACAGAGGCTATATGAATATAGTAACAAAAGATTTAGCAGTTGTGGACGTTGGCTTGAGCAGAATGCTGAATACTGATCAATCAAAGAAACAGTCACTATCTTTAGCTGTTTTAAGAATTCAAATAAAGGATGTGTAACTTAGCAGACCTAACAAAACAGAGCTTCATTTATACTTACAATTTTTATATATATTATTTAAAGCCAGTTATTTAAATACTGCAGACTGATTAACTACCACTGACCTAAAATTTTCGTATGTAATATTTAACCTGCTAAGACCCGAACTTTTCCACGGCATGCATTTTTAATTTCTCTTTGATATTTGAGCATATTGGGGCCAGATGAATGTAAAAACAAAGGATTACCTGATTTTTTTTTTCTCTAAAAAAATGAGAGCCACATATGAGGATATTCATTTAATATTTCGACAGAACAGTAGCAGTATAATGTCCTCGTAAGTGAATATCAGGCCCATGTAGAGCAAAATCGAGTATTTTGGTCTAAATAACCCAAAATGTGATGTCCACATATGTGGACGTCAGGTAAATGGACTGATTCTTATATGGCGCTTTTCTACGCTGT